CGAATACCTTATATGCACGCGTGAGCATTTGCTTATTTTTGCATTTGCTTACACGCAATATGCCAAGCCCAAGTGAAGGCCCCTTCGCTAACTGCAGGCAGACCTTGCTACACTAGGTCTACCTAGCTAGGTGCACACTCTACTTCTAGACTCTAAACACAACATATCTCTCCTAATATGACCTAAATATTCATGTAATCATCCTTAAAACATATTCCAAATATATTAAGGGGAAATACGAGACAAATAAATATTTTTCTTCACTCCGCAGCGAGTCGCTGTCTCAGCTCCAGCATCAGTGTAGTGCATTGGCACTACAATGCACCGTTGTAGGTATCTAGTGGGCAAAACGAGAGTAAAATTGTAATAATTAGTTTAGTTTAACTAATAAAATTTAAGTTAGTAAGCCAAATCGCAGGGTTACGGTAGTTAGCCGAGGATAGCCGACACTCGTTAGAGGCAGAGGCATAGTCACCGCGGAAACGCGGGTCGGCCGTACCCTCGCGGATCTAGCGGCCGGCTAGCGGATCGCCAAGCAGGGGCGCAGGGATCGGACTGAAATCCGACGAGAGAACTATTTTTGCTCCAATATTTGTTCGCGAAATCGTTCGAATAACTAATAGAAACGGCTAGTTCTGCAGATCCAGTTCGTGACAGCCACGAACTGCCGCACCTTAGCGAATCCAGCATGAGAGAGCTTGATGCACCAGGCATTACATTTGGGGGCTGTTCCGGGATAGGAAAGGCAACTTCCAACTCAAAATATAACCAAACACCCTTTCCTTAGTAGGAAAAAATTCCTAAATTCGCGAACCCAGAGGGACTTACGCTTCCAAGGGACAAGGGGACGCTGTCCAAGTGACAAGGGGACGCCTGTATGCAACCCCATAGCGGAGTTCCACATACGCCAACCGACGAAATGTCGGACACTGAAAGCCCACCTAGAGAAACTGTGGAACCTTTTCCCGAACCGCGGAGGACAATAACCCATCGGGAGAGCGGGCCAACTGTGAGTAGGAAGGGCTCGACCCCGGCGAGGAACCAGGACCAGGACGCTGAGTGGAAATTGGAGTTAATAAATTTGCTTCCTCAAATGACGGACGAAAGCCGGGCCAACACTGAAGAGATAGTGAAGTTGCATCGTTAAATGACGGACGAAAGCCGAGTCAACCCCGAAAGCCGAGCCAACACCCAGAAAGAAAGCTCTATTCGAAAGGGAATCGCCGCGACCGACGACGGAACCAACATGCGTTTTTTCCTTTGCCTGATAAAACAGGAATTCCGAGAATTGGAGGTACCAGAAGAACAGTGGGGACTCCAATTAAGGAAATACTTGACGGGTAAGGCAATGACACATTGGGAACTCCTACAACGTTCGGGAACGGAAATCTCATATTGGAAACTCGTACGAGAGAGACTGTGTGAGAGGTTCTGCACCTTGTCGCGCGAAATGATGCTGGAACGAATGAGGAACAATCCATGGCGGGGAGACTATAACGAGTACATCGCTCGATTTGCTGAAATAGTAGCTCAAGGAGAGACCCTAGCGGCTGAGGAACTGGTGTTGTGCTTCTTTGCGAACATACCAGTGGAAATAGGTGACAGACTGACTCAAGATGGAAACAAGGACTCCGAAAGCTGGCAAGAGGCTTCCGCAGCTTGAGGCCTGACGCGCGAAGAGGCAGCGTTACGAACAGGAGATCGCTAACACGAAGCGACGATCCGGGTCCGGCGGGAATACTAACGCATTAAGCCGGATCTCCTTGACCGGAAGAGGAAATACTGCAGACAAAACGGTGCGATTCGCTGTTATGAATGCACAGGAAAGGGGCATTTGGGAAGGGACTGCCCATTGCGTAACGGAGTAACGAGACGAAGAGGAGAAACCTGCTCGAAGTGTGGAGGAAAGGACCATTACGCTAGAGAATGCGCAGCAACCCAACGAACACCGCCTGGATGGCAGGAGGGACGGAGTTCGACGCCAGATCTTACGGACGTCAACGCGGGGGTAAACCGGTTAAACGACCAGGCCTAGTCGTTAAGGGAGACGAACGCG